TTTATAAAAATGATACAGTGCAAAATTATTTTGTTAAAGATTATTGACTCATATGTTCTTTTCATTTTATAATTTGTTAAATAAAATTCTACAAATACAAGTATACCAGCATGGAACATATTTTCATGAAAAAATGCTGAAAAATTAGATTACATTTCATTTCCACTTACAATGTGTGATTGTATTGATTAATTATTGTCTGAAGATAGAAAAACATTTTAAAAACTTCAAATCTGTAATTTAAATGACTGTCCATGTCATTTTATGTAATATGTATGGGAAAAATGAACTTGCCTAAGATAAAACTCCTCCTAAAAAGTCAACATTATTGAGAGAGAGTTCTTAAAGCATATGTAATTGATCATCTCTTATATATGGTAATTTTGATATTTGCAAGCAATATTCTCAAATTAATATTAATACGAAAAGACAGTAAGAATAAAGAGTTAATATATTGTGAAACCTTCTGTGTAGTTTTTATTGCCTTTTCATCCATATTCAGAAGTATCATCTTGTATATGTAGTATTTTAATTTTTATATTAAGCTCGTCTAAAGAATTTGAAATATTTTAAAAATTTTATCTAATCCCAATGTTATAATTTTATCATGTTCAACAAGCAAGTGAAATTCTTATAAAATACTAGAGAAATTTAAAAATATGTATTAATAAGTCTGTTCTCTGATAAGGCAGAATATAAAAGATTTTAAAAAATTAGAGGTTTGGTTATGAACTGAATTGATTAATTAAATTTAATATGTTTTCAAAATAAAATGTTTTATTATTATTTACATATAGTTATGCCAAAAAATCATAATAATTCAATTTGTTAAATGATAACTCCAGATTCATTGGGCCATAATTTGGCTGATTAAATATGTGGCTATCCTTGTACCTGACAGATACAGACAGGTGAACTTTGCACTAGCAACCACAAAAGAGTATCCTTGTACAGTACCTATACAGGGTGTTTTGAAACTCATGGACAAAAATTTAAGGGATGATAGAAAACATCTAAACAAGCAATTTTCACCATATAATGCATGGGTGGAGAGCAAGCGGTGAACTATTAGATGGTGCTGTAATGGAAAGCATAAAGTGCGAGTTTTCTTACACATCGTCATTTCTACCATGGATTTCAGAAGGCATGGCGACGTACATCGACTCTGATGACGACCTAGTTGCCAGGATTTCTGTTGCTGCTGGTGCTGTCTGAGACATGCCGGGTGTGTTTGAAAAAATGCGCCGCTTGCTACATTGCAGGCTCAAAAGAGCAACCACCTGTGCAGGTGGTTGCTCTTTTGAGCAGTTTCTGTAATTTTGCCACACATGCTGTCAATAAAATTATTTAGTACCTCCTCTATCCGTTTGGTGTTTCATTCTTTCATGTGACAGTAACTGATACTCCTAGCGGTTCACTGCTTGCTCTCCGCCCATGCATTGTATAGTGAAAATTGCTTGTTTAGATGTTTTCTATCACCCCTTAAATTTTTGCCCATGAGTTTCGAAACACTCTGTATATGTGGTTAGAGCATTTGGCACCAGAGCAAACTTAAATATGGTGTCTTTTGCATAAGCCTTTTATTAGTCTGTTACAAAGTTAAAATTATAAAATCACTTTTAATTAATATGATTTTTCATACTTCTGTATGACGGTTTTCTATGAATTTATTAGTTACCCATGTAACAATCTTAGAATTGTGGCACCCCGTTACCTTGGCATCCATGACACACATTCCCTCTGCCCCTGCCTTTCCACAACCTGCTTGTAACTGCTGGCCATAGGAGAGGCAACTCTCATAGCTGCTGGCCAAGAGAGATGCGGTCCTTACACAACAAGGAGAGGTGATCCAAAAACAAAGCAATCAATGGCGATTGCTTTGTTCTCATTTTTTGTACCTATTTTCCATTATGCACATACAAAGCTGTTTTTTATTTTATCCCCTAAATTCTGTTAAGTATGCTGAATTTTGTCTCAGATAACAGATGAAATTCAGATAATGAACTTAACAGTTTTTTGTGTCAAATTTGTAAGCTTGCTGACTTTTAGGGGGGAATCAGTTAATCACATGTCAGTGATGGTCTAGGGTCCATTTGTATGTTGGTGATGGCAGAGGAGACAAAGATGACAAGTATTTTACAGTGAAAATCATTTATTAGAATGGGAAGATGCTTACATATTTGAGGTAGTTGGAAATGGTTTATCTACAGTATTTTTTCCCGGCACTGAGGAGCAGTGTATTACTGGTCCTATGATAGTGTAAACTGATTGATTGTAGTCCCGGAGCAGACGAGATGGGCTCGCTCAGTCACAGAAGTGATGGTAGGTGATGGAGCTGCAGCAACTGGAGCGGTCCGCGAGACACAACACAAATTTTAGTGGACCTGACTTCAGGTTTAATCCAGATGAAGACGACACAGATTAATTGCCATAGAATTTTTGGGAGAACTGCGTTTTGGCCTTGAGATTTGGAATTTTTATAGTATTTCTTCCTTGAATCTCACTTTTTGATTGGACCTGCATCCCATTCCTTACTTCCTGATTGTTTTCTTTGTCTCCAGGTGAAAACCAAAACTAGATCAGGTCACGAGAAAGGTCCATTCTGAGGTGTCTATTTGACACCTGTCTGATCGGAAATTGTTGGTAAACCTATAAGCCTTACGCTTATAATTTAACCTGTTGTTTCTGCTATCTGTCATTTTGGAACTTTAATGATCATATGCAATGTTTTTATACTCGTCAAATCTTTCCTGTTTTCCGAAAATTTAACCTAGATCGACTGTTTGAACACATTTTCCTATATTTTCATCAAAGAAAACCCATTTTATAAATAAAATTACAAAAATAGAATGGATAAATTGTATTTGCATTAATTTCTATGGGAAAAATTTCTTTGGTTAACGAACGAAGTCGTGGAAAGGATTAAGTTTGTTAACTGAGATTCCACTGTATCTCTTTGACTCCACTGTATGTCAAAAACTGAATCATGGACCCCCCTATTGTTTATATTTAAATGGACCCTGATTACATTTTTGGATTCCTCATTGCAATTAATGGAAAATGGCAGAGTTTCATCAAAATCGGCTCATCAAATTTTGAGAATGAACTCAATTCTATATGCCCATAGATATCTAGCAACCAGGGATATTGCCTGACAAAGTTGTGCTGTGCAATTCATGTGAGATTGCTTTATTGTGCACACTTATGTTATAACTTATGACCTCATATCTCAAAAATGAAGGTATGGACCACCATTTTACTTTCCCAGCTGTTATGTATACATAACAAGGAAAAGTATTGAAATTGTGTCAAATTTGACCCTCCAAGTTTTTTGTAAATCTCTGTGTTTTGAGACCACCTTAACCCAAAAAAGTCAAAAACACAACAAAAAAATTCCATGGGTGTGTGTTGGCATCTAATTTGTTTAATATCTCAGGTTTGGGTGAAGGTAAAGAAATGAAATTTGATATGGTAGCTTGTGTATAAGCAGCATTGATGCTATTAAATTTTGGTGGTGAAATGTTGAGAGGGTGGGTAGAGGTGGTCATGCATCATATCTCTAGTTGGGTTGGACTTAATGAAGATGTTATATGTTTTTATACCCATCAAATAGTTATTAGCATTTATAATTTTTTATGAAACTGATCACTATTCTCAAAATTAAGCTTTTTGCCATTCAATAATAAAAAATAAAGAAAGTTTTCATAACAAAATCTCAGAATTGTGTGTGGCATCATATATTATATTTTTTGTATTATAATTAATAAGATAAAAGTTCTTTTTTAAATAAAAAATCTCATAATAACCAGAAAAGTTATGCAATTCATTGCTGGATTTTTTGTAATGGGTTTTGTAATTTTTTTTGTTTTGGGTTCCTCATTGCAGCCCACCAGGCAGTTTTCGTACCCTGAACACTTTGAATTTGGTCATAGGTTCGTGTCTCACTTGCATGGGCTGGTCACGTGGAGTTTTCTGGATTTTCTCCACGTCAGTAACGCTTAAATAGAGACCAGTTTCCCTTAAAAAGATCTCCCTGAAGGCATCCCCTAGGCAGATCATCCAAGTGTTGCATTGCCATAACTCAAAGAAACCAAACCAAACCCTCATTGCAATCTGTGATCACATGTCCAGTGATCATGGAGTATGATCTGTACAGGATCATGTCGCTACAGTAGAAGTATTGATAAAACCCACTCTGTCACAGCTACATGATATTTCAGTGTCATTTTAACACACAACATGTACCCTCAAGAAACCTGTATTGTGTATTAAGTGATTGGAAGATGATTCAATGCATGATTCATGACACTCTACAGAACATTCTCCTCTTAAAGATGGAGTTCCTTCCAACCAGAATAGGAGAATGTTTGGAAAATCAGGGTGGTCACTTTGTGGATACTATTTTCAATAAAGTACATAACTGAGGTACTATCTTAAATGCTGTTCCATTGGACATCTTTTTGTTACAATAAAATGGTTTGTGATGAAACATGTGTAAAGATTTTCTGAAGTCCAACATGTGTTTATTACCTACTCTATGTATTTTCCAGATAGGTTAATTGATAATTATATAAATAAATAAATTTCTAGACAGTCTTATTTAAAGAACCTGAATGTTTTTAAATGTTCAGAATTATCAGCAGTGAAAATTTATTATTGAAGTATTCAAATATGATCCAAATATTTCATTAATTATTATTCCAAGTTTTAAAAATTTGTTCTTGAATACATGTGTATTGAAATCTAATATATTTGAATAAATCAAATGACTTTTAGATATTATTTAAAATAAATAATGTATTTTAGATTTGTATATTTACATAGTATGGCATTAGTATATTCTAGCTGCATACCTCTCGGAAGTTCAGTGATCATGGAGCACTGATTTGTACAGGAGTGTGTTGCTACAGTAGAAGTAACATTATATATATTGTTAAAAATAGTTGGTTGTTTTATATGTACTGTTTTTATCAACTTTTGTATTTATATTTGTTTTTTAGCTTCGAAACTTTACCAATGATCCCAAAGAAATTTGTAATGTTTTAGAAGATGTGACAGAAACTAAACAGTGTGACACATGTGGTATCCTTTGAAAAATTTAATTTCGTATCTTTAAAATTATGTAGGGATTTATTATTTTATTTAACCAAAAAGCCAGATTTTTCTTCATTATTTGAAGCAATGTAAGTATAATATAGGTTAAATTTTTGAATTATTGAAAAATTCAATTTTTTATGTAGTATTATGATAAAGTTTTTTCAATTTTATTTAAGTTTATTAAGCTTCTAAATTTTCCAAAATATTATTCAAGTTAAATATTGAATTTTTATATGATATTTATCAACACTGTTGCTTTTCTTATCTGTTTTTAAATGGTAAAACTATAAATAATAAATAAAAATTATAAAAAATAGGGTAAAATTAGACTTAAAATTTAATGTATTTTAAAGGTCATTTAGTATAAAATTGTAGAGTAAATGAGTAAATACATCTGTTTCTTATAATATATATCATATAAAATTATATAACATCAACTCAAAACCTGATTTAATTGATTGACAAACAATCTGCTGAATTGTCAGGCTTCTTTCCAGAAATTTCTAATAATTAATTATAATTATTAAAATTAATATGAAATGGCAATGTATCCACCTACCTCTAGTCAAATTAATTGGTAACTAATTATTAACATAGACTGAAAATAACCTGATAATTCAGCAGATTGTTTATCTTCATATAAAAATATATTCTATTTTTTAAAATATTATAAATGTACTTTTATATGGACAAAATATATTTTACAATTTAGCTAACTTTTTAAAGATGAGGTATAAAGACTTCTGTTTTTGATATTAGTATATTCTCAAATAAAATGGAGAATAATCTTGAATTTAATCTGTTATAGATAGAAAATGTAATTCTCAACAGTATTATTTGCCCCTTTTCCTTTTTTATGGAGAAAACATGACACCAGGAGGCAACTCCTTAACCTTTGCAAAATGATTTCAATTTATTCTCTTAAGAATGGTGTTCATCAGTTGATAAAAGGTTCCTTTAAAAAATGTACACTATATATAAAATCATAATAAATAAGAGAAAAGAGATAAACAATTATGTCAATAATTACACTGTATACAACATATTAAATATTAATATATGTTTTTTTCAGAATAGAAATTATTTATGACTTTTAAATTAAAATTTCAAATGTTTAGATGCTTTTTCCAAAGTCATCAATCTTTATGGTTTGAAAGATTAAGATGATTTGCTATAAATTTTCATAATAAATTTTTTTGAGAGTTGTGATAATTTTTTGTTTAATCATAATTTATTAACTAATATAGATTAATAAAATAAGTCACATGGATGCCTCATAGGGACCAAGGAGGGGTGCCTTCTTGAAGAATTTTCTTGAAAAACTGGTCTTTAACTTTTAACTTTTCTTTAATTGTGAAAATTCGTGACTAAGAATGAAAGTGTTGAGATGTAATTTAATTTCTAGAATTTAACTTTATTTTTATTAAGAAATCTAAATAAATTTGTTTTGGTGTCTCACAGCTTGGTATTTATCTGACAGATCATTTATATGTTTAATTTGTCTCATATGTCTATAAGCATTTCTCTTTTGCTAGCAATTGCTTTTCATTTGATATGTAATTGATATGTCATTTGACTAGTAGTGATATGTTAATATCACTACTAGTCATTTGACTAGTAGTGATATTAACATATCACTACTAGTCAAATGACATATCAATGAATGTCAATGTTCAAATGAATGTTGTATGTTAATATTAACATGTTTGTTTGGTAACAACACTTAGATACTTTTTGGAAATGCTACAGGTAAAAATAGTAACTACTTGTATTATGGAATACTTATACTACAGTGGGTGATGAGTTAATGAACAGTTAGGATTGCGAACAAATCAGATAATGAACACTTTCACAAAAGATTTTTATGATCAGACAATGAACACTTTACTGAACAAACATAAAAAGAAGTGACGGAAAATAACAAATTACCGATTGATTTTCCTTTGTCTTCAAGTAATAATTTGAAACCTTTCAGAGCGTGGGAGACATCAACATTGATGCTCAACCCAATACCGATCGGATAGTATTCCTCCAATTTTGAAACTCTCCCTTATAATTCTAGCTTTTTGTTTACCTTTCTGACAAATAATTTTTTATAGTATTTGTGAGACTGTCAGACAGGCACTTGTTAAGTTTTGCATCGGGATTTATTTACAAAAGGTGAAAGTTTAACTGTCCCATCAGATATTCGTTAATGTTTTAATACCAAATTTCGAATTTCATCTGGGCCTTGAATTTAAATAATTTTTTGTGGGCTAGTTGATTTCTGTTCTCTGAATTTTTGTAAGTGCTTTTCTGAACTTTTTATTTAAAAAAGAAACCAATAATATTATGGAGCCTAAAAAGGTGTGCTCACCATAGAAACCAAATAAGAGATAATAGCCAAGGTAGAAAGTGGGCACAAGATGTCTGATATTGCTAGGCAGGTATGGCTTGAACAGGTCTACAGTAGACACAATCTTAGCTATGAAAGATATATCAAGAAGTCTCAAGCTGCTAATGGAGTAATGAAAATCACATCTGAGAAATAAAGAGCATTTTAGAGCTCATAATGGANGTTCTTCATTCAAAAGTTCTAGGCGTTCTTCTGTCGTCAGATCCGTTTCAGGTTCCATTACGAACTCTTCGATGTTCTTTATTTCTCAGAAGTGATTTTTGTTACTGCTTTAGCTGCTGGAGTCTTTTTGATTATACAGCATTTTTCTTAAATAAGATTGAACTGAGGCCTACTGTAGACCTGTTTACTCCATATTGCCCAGCAACATTAGGTATCTTCTGTCCACTCTCTACCTTTGCTATTATACTCTCATCTTTCGAAAAGAAAAACAGACGCAAAACTTAACGAGTGCCTACCCGACAGTCTCGCAAATACACAAAAGAATTGTTTTGTCAGAAAAATAAAAGGCTGGAATTACAAGGGAGAATTTCAAAGTTCGGAGGAATACTATCCGATCAGTATATACTGGCTTGAGTGTCGATGTCCACGTCTCCCACACTCCGAAAAGTTTCGAATTGTTGCCCGAAGACAAGGGAAGACCAATCGGTATTCATTATTTTACGTCACTTCTTCTTGTGTTTGTTCTGTGGGATGTTCGTTATCCGATCATGTGTTCGTTGTCCGAACATAAAAATCTTTCGCGAAAGTGTTCGTTATCTGATCTGTTCGTTAACCGATCACCCACTGTATAACAAAATTTGAAATCATTTGTAGCCAGTTATTAGAGTGAAATTATTTTGATTATTTTTGTAATAGATAGATTGTAGATAAGGAGGAATAACTTTTTAATTAGAAAAAGTATAGTTTTATTGAACAAATTTAAAAATCATATCATAACCATTTAGTTATTATTATGAAATATACATCAGATTTAATGTTTGAAATCACTATTTAATCTGTAAAATATTTATTTATATAAGTTACAAAGAGAATGTATGTATGCTGAAACGAACTAAATTAACCACAGTATTTAAGTAGAATTAGTTAATTTGTTTTGTTAAATTTGAATTTTCTTAATATCAAAGAAATTGATTTAATATAAACATATTTTAGTACAGAAAAGGTTGACCTTCCTATTGTTTCCTTGCCTGAAATTCTTCCTCCCCCATTTGTGTTACGAACAATATTGATTTATTGTCAATCAAATGTTGTTCCAGAATTTTTAAATGGACAGGAGGTACTATAGAAATTCTTTTTATATAAATGGGAAATATATAAAAATGATTATTTTTAATTATTAAATTTATTACAGGAATTCAGAAAACTTCAACAGTCATCATATTTCTTTTTAGATGTGTTATATATACATGGTCCTCCTTCCAATAACAATAAGTGTCAGGTAAATTATTCCCTTCAAATTTAATTTTTAATGATGGTGTTAATATTAATATCTATCTATGTAATTATAGGAAATATATGAATTCCTGTGTGACTTAGATGAGAAATATACTTCTTATATATTTGAAGTAACTCGCAATACTACCAAACTACATAATTGTATGGCAAAATTGCTTGCTCATCCTTTGCGATAATTTTTTGTTTAATCATAATTTATTAACTAATATAGATTAATAAAATAAGTCACATGGATGCCTCATAGGGACCAAGGAGGGGTGCCTTCTTGAAGAATTTTCTTGAAAAACTGGTCTTTAACTTTTAACTTTTCTTTAATTGTGAAAATTCGTGACTAAGAATGAAAGTGTTGAGATGTAATTTAATTTCTAGAATTTAACTTTATTTTTATTAAGAAATCTAAATAAATTTGTTTTGGTGTCTCACAGCTTGGTATTTATCTGACAGATCATTTATATGTTTAATTTGTCTCATATGTCTATAAGCATTTCTCTTTTGCTAGCAATTGCTTTTCATTTGATATGTAATTGATATGTCATTTGACTAGTAGTGATATGTTAATATCACTACTAGTCATTTGACTAGTAGTGATATTAACATATCACTACTAGTCAAATGACATATCAATGAATGTCAATGTTCAAATGAATGTTGTATGTTAATATTAACATGTTTGTTTGGTAACAACACTTAGATACTTTTTGGAAATGCTACAGGTAAAAATAGTAACTACTTGTATTATGGAATACTTATACTACAGTGGGTGATGAGTTAATGAACAGTTAGGATTGCGAACAAATCAGATAATGAACACTTTCACAAAAGATTTTTATGATCAGACAATGAACACTTTACTGAACAAACATAAAAAGAAGTGACGGAAAATAACAAATTACCGATTGATTTTCCTTTGTCTTCAAGTAATAATTTGAAACCTTTCAGAGCGTGGGAGACATCAACATTGATGCTCAACCCAATACCGATCGGATAGTATTCCTCCAATTTTGAAACTCTCCCTTATAATTCTAGCTTTTTGTTTACCTTTCTGACAAATAATTTTTTATAGTATTTGTGAGACTGTCAGACAGGCACTTGTTAAGTTTTGCATCGGGATTTATTTACAAAAGGTGAAAGTTTAACTGTCCCATCAGATATTCGTTAATGTTTTAATACCAAATTTCGAATTTCATCTGGGCCTTGAATTTAAATAATTTTTTGTGGGCTAGTTGATTTCTGTTCTCTGAATTTTTGTAAGTGCTTTTCTGAACTTTTTATTTAAAAAAGAAACCAATAATATTATGGAGCCTAAAAAGGTGTGCTCACCATAGAAACCAAATAAGAGATAATAGCCAAGGTAGAAAGTGGGCACAAGATGTCTGATATTGCTAGGCAGGTATGGCTTGAACAGGTCTACAGTAGACACAATCTTAGCTATGAAAGATATATCAAGAAGTCTCAAGCTGCTAATGGAGTAATGAAAATCACATCTGAGAAATAAAGAGCATTTTAGAGCTCATAATAGAACCTGAAACTGATCTGATGACAGAAGAACTCCAAGAACTCTCAAATGAAGAATACCAAGAAACTCAGCGAGATGTGTTTTCTTTTGAAAAAGAGGAAGATGAAAGAGGACCAATGTCGACATCTGCTACTAAAGATCTTTTGAAGAAGTGGGAGGATGTCAGAACAACGATCATCCAAGTGGCATCCAAATCAAAATAAGGTTAATGGGGTTGGGGATCTCTACAATTACAATGCTATTAAGTACTTCCGAAAAATCCTGAAGAAAAGAGAAAAGCAATCAACATTGGACAGATTCTTTAACACCCACAAATGGAAAAAAACATGACTAATAAAACATGCATATATATGTATTTTTACTATTACATATAAATAAAGGTGGTAAAAAAGTATGTGTTTTTTATTTTTTGGAGTCTCCGGAACAAATTAATCAAATTCCCATAAAAACCTATGGGAAATCGATAATCAGTTAACGAACAATTCGGATAACGAAGAAAGTCGGAATGGATTATGTTTGTTAACTGATCACCCACTGTATTTGAAAATTTGTCTAAGTTAACATTTCAAATTATGTGAGATAAATATCAAATATGGGTAATGAGATACTTTCTGATCTTAAAATACAGTGGGTGATCGGTTAACGAACATAATCCGTTCCAAGATTTTGTTTGCTATCCGAATTGTTCGTTAACCGATTATCGATTTACCGTAGGTTTTAATGGGAACTTAATTAATTCGTTCTGGAGACCTTAAAAAATAAAAAATATATACCGTCTTACTATGTTTATTTATATGTAATAATAAAACTACATACATACACAGTGTTGCGTTTTTATTAGTCATGTTTTTTCCGTTTGAAAGGGTTAAAGAATCTGTCTAATGTCAATTGCTTTTCTCTCTTCTTCACGATTTTTCGTAAGTAATTATATCCCCAAGCCTCAACATGGTTTGGATGCCATTCTAAGACCGTTGTTCTGACATCCTCCCACTTCTACAAAGGATCTTTAATAACAGATATCGACATTAATCCTCTTTTTCAGAAGAAAACATATCTTGCCGAGTTTCTTGGTGTTCTTCATTCAAAAGTTCTAGGCGTTCTTCTGTCGTCAGATCCGTTTCAGGTTCCATTACGAACTCTTCGATGTTCTTTATTTCTCAGAAGTGATTTTTGTTACTGCTTTAGCTGCTGGAGTCTTTTTGATTATACAGCATTTTTCTTAAATAAGATTGAACTGAGGCCTACTGTAGACCTGTTTATTCCATATTGCCCAGCAACATTAGGTATCTTCTGTCCACTCTCTACCTTTGCTATTATACTCTCATCTTTCGAAAAGAAAAACAGACGCAAAACTTAACGAGTGCCTACCCGACAGTCTCGCAAATACACAAAAGAATTGTTTTGTCAGAAAAATAAAAGGCTGGAATTACAAGGGAGAATTTCAAAGTTCGGAGGAATACTATCCGATCAGTATATACTGGCTTGAGTGTCGATGTCCACGTCTCCCACACTCCGAAAAGTTTCGAATTGTTGCCCGAAGACAAGGGAAGACCAATCGGTATTCATTATTTTACGTCACTTCTTCTTGTGTTTGTTCTGTGGGATGTTCGTTATCCGATCATGTGTTCGTTGTCCGAACATAAAAATCTTTCGCGAAAGTGTTCGTTATCTGATCTGTTCGTTAACCGATCACCCACTGTATAACAAAATTTGAAATCATTTGTAGCCAGTTATTAGAGTGAAATTATTTTGATTATTTTTGTAATAGATAGATTGTAGATAAGGAGGAATAACTTTTTAATTAGAAAAAGTATAGTTTTATTGAACAAATTTAAAAATCATATCATAACCATTTAGTTATTATTATGAAATATACATCAGATTTAATGTTTGAAATCACTATTTAATCTGTAAAATATTTATTTATATAAGTTACAAAGAGAATGTATGTATGCTGAAACGAACTAAATTAACCACAGTATTTAAGTAGAATTAGTTAATTTGTTTTGTTAAATTTGAATTTTCTTAATATCAAAGAAATTGATTTAATATAAACATATTTTAGTACAGAAAAGGTTGACCTTCCTATTGTTTCCTTGCCTGAAATTCTTCCTCCCCCATTTGTGTTACGAACAATATTGATTTATTGTCAATCAAATGTTGTTCCAGAATTTTTAAATGGACAGGAGGTACTATAGAAATTCTTTTTATATAAATGGGAAATATATAAAAATGATTATTTTTAATTATTAAATTTATTACAGGAATTCAGAAAACTTCAACAGTCATCATATTTCTTTTTAGATGTGTTATATATACATGGTCCTCCTTCCAATAACAATAAGTGTCAGGTAAATTATTCCCTTCAAATTTAATTTTTAATGATGGTGTTAATATTAATATCTATCTATGTAATTATAGGAAATATATGAATTCCTGTGTGACTTAGATGAGAAATATACTTCTTATATATTTGAAGTAACTCGCAATACTACCAAACTACATAATTGTATGGCAAAATTGCTTGCTCATCCTTTGCAAAGACCATTTCAGAAAGATGTTTTCTATAAAATCCAAACACCCGGTGAATAAATAAAAATTATATTAATTTCTTTATTGTACATAGAACGCTGCCTTATTACATAAAATAACACGTAGCATTCTTTAGTTTTATGAAATAAATTTAATAACATAATATTTATTGTTTCTTGGAAACTTTTTCAAAAATCTCTTTTGATATAATAATAAAGGTTAAAATTGCATTCAAAAATTTAAGTTTACTTGTTATATAATTTATTTCAACACATTTTTAATAGAGAAAGCACTAATCATTTTCTGAAATACAGTAATGTGCTAGTTAAGTTGGAATGTCTTACATTTTATTTCAAACTCATTATTTGGAATTCATGATTTATATTAAGGACATCTCCTTAATATAAATCATACCTTTTTGAAAGGAGCTCCACAATATTAACTTAAAGTTTATTTTAATTATAAATTTGTTTACAGAATTTTAGAACAACAATGTAAAAAATGATAAATAGTTTGCTGCATTTTAAGTAATATTTCCATTATTTATGCATAAGTCTAAAGTAGAATGGACTAGATTGGATTTCTAAATATGACTCTCAAATAAGCATCATATATGCAGGTTAAATATCTGTTATAGTTGGACTAATCCAAATAGTGTTAGCCTATAAACAACCCTATTAACCTGATGCAAAGCAATAATACACCAACGACTGCCATAAATCATTGGGCTATAATTTGGAATAAATAATTATAAATTACAAATGAATTTGGCACTAGAGAGATGTTAGGCGCCATCTCGTATTAAAGTTAATTAGCCAGCACGAATGAATGAATGAGATTTATTCTCATATGAAAGCCAATGTCTGTTCAATGGTATTTAAATTAAGCTCATGATATAACTTTTGCATTGTAAAATTATCTGGATATTTTTTTGTTTTTATAGTTTTTCTGTTCTTTTATCATGCGTGATGAAATATTTCTTTCTAACTACTAAAGTGAGTTTGCAAATCATGTTGCAAGTGGATATTGCTAATATAACTTTCAAATAATTATACAGTAAAGAAGTTTCCTGACATCAAGAAAGAATTGTTTTGATTTTCTTTCATTATTTAACAATTCAAAGATATACAAAACTGTGAAATGAAACTTACTTTGTAAAAGATGTCAAAGAACTAAAGCTAACAACCTACCAGTGGCCAAGCAATTTTATTCTGGAAGTTTGGTTGTGGGTTTGCATCAGGACAGGCTGGCCATGTGGAGTTTTCCAGGTTTTCTCCATGTCTGTAACACCTGAAGGGGCCAGTTACTCTTAAAAGACCTCCCGGAAGATATCCCCATAGGCAGATTGCCCAAGTGTTGTGTTGCTGTAACTTAGCAAAACAAACTAAAGCTAACCTAATTTTGCAACCTAACTCCCATCCTTCATTGTCTTCCATGCCATTGAAGTTGATTGGTTTTGTTTATTTATGGCAGCATGGCACTTGGACAATCTGATAAAGATAAGCTTTCCAGTAGATCTTTTATGGGAAACTGGTCCCTATTTAGGTGTTACAAATGTGAAAATAAGTGAGTAGTGGGATGACATGTGTTTATTGCTTTAACATCATTTTATTTCATCAGTGAATGAAATACAAGCATAAGAAACACAATGCCTGTGATAAAAATATATAAATAAAACTTGAAAGCAATAGAATATATAAAAGTTCATGTCACACCTTTCACCTTATGATGGCACACCGGTTGCGGAACACTGCTGTAGTTGATTGATCAAGCAGTCAACTTTCTTTAACATAGGAAGTATAGGGAGTTGACTATATGTATTGTAAGTATAATATAAGTATATATATGTATTATAAGTATAATATAAGTATATTATAAGTACAGGGAGTTGACTATATATCTGTCTCCAATATGTGGGTAGACCATTCTAGGTTTGGGAAAGGAAACAAACAGACACTCAAGCTCAAAGATGAAAAGTAAATGAAAATTTACAAAGGTGGGAATTAAGTACCTTTATCCCTTTCTAGATTTAAGTTAGCTTCAACTTCAAGGTAAGGTTTCTTTAACCTTATTGGGTTAAAGACCTTATTAACCTTTAACCTTTATTCTTTAACCTTAAACTCCATGTGGTCAGCTTGTTTACAAAGTATAAACCAATGACCAAACTACCAGTGTTCAGTGGTTTTATCCACTCATCCACTAGTGGACACCATTGAAGCTGAAACTAACTTAAGTCTAGACAAGCAGTTATTTATTGTGGCTTCATCACAATGCCAGGCTGTAATTTTTAATCATATTTTTTAAAATTTATTTAATTTAAAATATATGCTCTCCCCCTCAAATTAGTAGTGTCTTGCCCTTGTACATAATACTTTTCCTGTTACCAACAGTCATGCCATCATTTATGTAATTTCTTATAGGGGAAAATTTTTTGAACTGTGATGTCTGGTTTGCATCAGAATTTCATTTTAAGTTAATCAGGTCCTCCTGCCCCTAAGCTTTCCATATTTGGTCTCAGACTTCATCTATCTAACTCCATTCTCGAGGTTAAGGAAAGATGGACAGACGGCAGCAGTAGGAATTTGAGTCTACAATTTTTTCAAATTGCAGCCCAATAAGGTTAAAGAAACCTTACCTTGAAGTTGAAGCTAACTTAAATCTAGAAAGGGATAAAGGTACTTAATTCCCACCTTTGTAAATTTTCATTTACTTTTCATCTTTGAGCTTGAGTGTCTGTTTGTTTCCTTTCCCAAACCTAGAATGGTCTACCCACATATTGGAGACAGATATATAGTCAACTCCCTGTACTTATAATATACTTATATTATACTTATAATACATATATATACTTATATTATACTTACAATACATATAGTCAACTCCCTATACTTCCTATGTTAAAGAAAGTTGACTGCTTGATCAATCAACTACAGCAGTGTTCCGCAACCGGTGTGCCATCATAAGGTGAAAGGTGTGACATGAACTTTTATATATTCTATTGCTTTCAAGTTTTATTTATATATTTTTATCACAGGCATTGTGTTTCTTATGCTTGTATTTCATTCACTGATGAAATAAAATGATGTTAAAGCAATAAACACATGTCATCCCACTACTCACTTATTTTTTAGGAATTATACATTGGACTCACACAGATCTTGAGCAACTCCAAATGAAAACAAGGACAACACTTACTAAGCATAAACATCATCATCCTAAATCTGCAATAGAAAGATTAACCCTTCCACGTAAAGATGGCGGACCTGACCTGATCGACATAGTTAACCTACACTACAAACAAATATAAACATTGCGAGGGTTTTTCTACAAAAAACAAGAAATGTCACAGTTACATAAAGCAGAAACTCTAACAAACTTAAAAAATACACCATTAAATTTACATTCACAACATATGGACACGACACAACTTATAAATAGCATAGACACCACTAAGCAATCATGGGTATGAAAGGCACTCCATGGCAGACATCCCTATGACCTGGCCCAGGATTTTGTTGACAAAACTGCATCAAACAGCTGGTTAGCTTGGGGAGATGGAAGGATCATAAATACTAAAAACTACAGAAAACACATACTCAAAGATATAACAATCACAAACAACACATGCAGAAAATGTCACATCATGCCAGAAACCATACAACACATCACTTATGGATTCAAGCTCTTGGCACACAGAGATAATTTACATAAGACACAATTAAGTAGCAAATACATTAAGAGCTTGCAAAGAAACAAATTATTAGACATCCACAAACCATACTACAAGTACATCCCACAGACAGTAGTGGAAAACAACACACACAAAATGTACTACAACAGAGCCATAATCACAGATAAAAATTTACCACAACAGACCAGACATCACACTCATTGACAAACACAATAAAATCACATACATTACAGATACAGTAAATTCCAAACACTCACAATGTACAAAACACATGCACTGAAAAAATCAAGTACACAGAACTCGCCCAGGAAATAAGACATCTATGAAAGATGGCTAGGGTGCTTATTGTACCTGTCGTTCTTTCCTGTACAGATGTCATACCACACGCTACACAAAAGCCTGGAAATATTAAAATTGAATAGAAACACATACATCACACTACAGGAGGCAACTATTTTGAATACTTGTCATATTGTTTAGAAATTCCTGAATACAGACACACACTGACAGACTTATTTAATTTTTGTCTTGTTTTGAAGTTACTATGTCTTGACTCTGGTCCGGCGTAGTACACAGCCATCGGTGTCAACCGAGTGCAACTCACAAAACTCAACATAATAATAATAGGTTTATGGCATTAAGAAATTCTATTAACAGTATCATATCATACGTTTTTGAGGGGAATTACATTTTTGTGTGCCGTGTTGAGTCATGTCGAGTCATAGGTGTGTCGCAAGCAGAAAAATACTGAACTATAGGACTACCGATTTAGAAGTTAGTGGCGCCAAGATCGTCTCACGTCATCAGACGTCACGACATCAGACGTTGCTATTTAAATTAGATTTCAATGGGCATACAGGAAAGATACTACTACCGTTTTTCCGTACGCGCCACAGTTGAATTTAAATTAAATCAATAAAAACCACGTTAATTTACATTCATGTAATATACATGACATACAAGAATTGGTATTGAATAGTGCTTAAATCAAATAAATAAATAAATAAATTTTATTTTATATTTTTATTATTTCTCCTTAGTACATAATTGGCATTCTGCATTATATTTAACAGTATTAATTACGTACAAGAAATTTTAATGAACATCTTTTAGAAAAACATTGTATTCGCAAGCCATAAAAAACGAAAATTTAATTATCATATAAAAATATTATTACTTCTCTGAATTTTCAGGAAAAGTGAACAGTGGCAATCGCTTTCACAAATTATGCGTTTAATTCTATTTTTCATTTTAAAATTAAACTAGAAACCACGGCGCTAGAAAGGAAATCTAACACCGTGGTAAATTGAAATCGAAACTAATAACGTCCCTTGCATTAAACGGAAAATGTAAATCACGTTTTATCATAAATCACGTGGAATTTTGGTGTTGAGTCGGAGTCGTCAAAAATCCACCCGAATCTGATTCCTTTTTACTTTCCCAATTCTATTCTGAAATATTAAA